TTGTGAATGAAACTCCAGTCCGAAATACAATTTAATTAAGCTTTGATGGCATCTCACTCTCACATGATATGATCATTATAGGTGAACTAAATTTAACATACAGATTCAATTGTTCTTGCAATGGTATTTTGGACTAGAATGCAGGCAGTGATACTTGACGTTTTACATGGAATGGTATTGCTTCCCTATTCTTGGCCTATTGCCTGCATAAGTAAACCTGGGGCCTTTTCTGTGCTTGCAGTTCTTGCGGAGGCCAAGTGCCTTGGGGCGAGATACATTTGTGTGGAAAAGGATTCAAGCATTTTTACTTATTGAGAATGAATTAAATAAACCGTTTTATCTGATACTTTCATTTTCTGACTGAAAATTTTAAATCATGGTGTTATATTTGATATCTTTTCTATTGTTTAATCTTGCAATTCATGTCTTCAGGAATGTTTCATGAAGTCAAAGCCTTCCAACTGATTCCAAAATCGAATGAATTATGTCTAAGTTGTCAAAAAGTTTTTAAAGACTTCTCTTTTGTAGTCTCATGACATTGATTGTTTTGGAAATAAGTGGACAATGACTGGTTTCTGAGAATGATGGATATTAACGTGATTTGTTGTTTTTGAAATAAAATTTTGATATATAACCAAAGTTATGTACCAAAATTTGTCTGGGGTTGACTGGCTGTTATTTAATAAGGATATAGAAATTTGATGTCTCATTTATAGATATTCTTTAGCGTTTGCTATAATGATTGTGTTGAAGTTCCACATATATTTTCCCTTGATTTATTGTTACAAAGGAGTTGTGGTGTGATGCATACCCATTCCTGTTTAACTTTCCATTGTGTGTAGGCAGTGGGATATAATTCAATTGAGGCCGAAGATTGGGAAGTAGCTACCAGTGGGGAAGAGATGAGCAAACTTGAATCGCTACTTCTTGATAAGAACCGAAAAATGGAACATGAACTCACTCAGTTGAAGGTATGAAAGCTTGCTGTATTCAAAATTTTAATATATGTGTGTATAGTTATACTCATAGTTCTAGGGGCGTAAAAGTCAGAAATACTGTTGCTGTAAATGTAAAACACGTATTCTCATATTGCAAATCTTAAAATATTATCTCAATGGACTGTTTTAATCAGTACCTTACTGCTTTCAGGTCAAACTGTCTGAAAAGACATCTTTGCTGGAAACAGCTGAAGCAAAGATAGGAGAACTCACTACAAAGCTTCTTGAACAACAAAGATTAATACAGAAGTTAGAAGATGATATATTAAAGGTTTGTATCTATTTTTTTTCAAATGGTGGTATTTTTTAGTGACCATCTCTGCATGTACAAATAGAAGCTATCTTTGTTTGTTGCTTTAGATTTTCAGTGTATTTTTTTTTTTCAAGAAACGAAATATCAGTAATACTATAGTGAATTTTACGAGGTGGACAAGTCGTCCAACCATAAAATCAGAAAAAATGCATAAACACTGCTTATTACTAGTGACCAAAAACGTCACCAAAAGCTACATGAGGCACTCCAACTTGCAATAATATCAAGAGAGGGACATTCTCAAAATCCTTCGAAAATGAGGCCCAAAAAAGTGCCAAAAAATAAATATGATCCCATAATCCTTCCACCTCCTCACGCTTGTTCTCAAAAAAAAATTGAGTTCCTTTCCAATCAAATAACCCCTGACAATGGGTAAAAATGCACAGCCCCATAAAGTAGCACCTCTTGTGCTTCATCCAAAACCCTTAACATCCATACAAAGAAAAGGTGACATAAAGCGCAAGACCACACAGCAAACTCCTGCCAATTCAAACAACTTACTCACGAAAGATGAAGCAATAAGACAATGCAAAAATAAACAATCCACACACTCGGTATCTCCTCTGTTAAAATACTTAGAGACATATTCTCATGAAGACATGAACTGACATGGCATAAAGTAGCCCCATTCCTACATAAACTCATCGGAATTACCTTTTGATTTGTTTGCATTCGTAATCCAGTGTAGAATGTTAAAAGCAAATGATTGTCAATTAATGCCAACATGTAGGAGTTTAGATGGAAATGATTTTCAGTTAATGCCAATGAATGCTTCAATCTTTCTGACTTTTAATGCAGGGCTATAGTTCTAAAGATAAAAAAGGCACTATATTTGATGATTGGGATCTTTCAGAGTCGGGAGCAACCGACCAATCCAATGTAATCTTTCCTCTATTCAGTTATTCTATTTCACATGATCCTTATATCTTCAAAAAGTGTATAGCTCTGTAATCATGTGATCAATAAATCTGAAATTGTACTATGTTTCTGCTTTCTATATGCAATGTTCTATATAATATAATCTTCACCTTGCACTAGCCGTTCCTCCTTGTCCTTTTTGTGATCTGAGTAGAATCACCATTCGACAGACAGAGCTACTGAAAATTACTATTAAGTTTGGTTGTCATAAGCATGAACTCAGGCTGGTATCATTGGAAAAGTTTGATACGTGCAAGGCAGACTGCATGACACTAACTTTAGTTGCTTAAGTGATAATAAAGAGTCATACTTGTAACTGTAGTTTCTCTTAGTAATAGTTTCTGTTGGTAATTTGTAAGATAAGCATTTAGTTGCACAGAAACAGCATGGAGGGTGAAACATAATTGATTGATTTCCGGTGCCTACCACTATATGTTGATGTTAAATAATTTTTGGGTATTTGGGATGCCATCCCCTAAGCTTTGGTTAGACGAAAGACAGGGCTGAACGAGTATGCATTTTTTGGGTGTTGTGAATGGAGAAGAATCGTAGAATTTTTTAAGGGAAGGAGGAAGAGAAGGGGATGATATGGGATAGTGCAAAGTTCTTAGCATCTTTATGGGCGATGGCTTCAAATGAGTTTTGTGACATTTCATTATCGGTCTTCCAACATAATTGGAAAGTTGTTTATACTTGAGTCTTTTTTGACTACTTTTGCCTTTGTTTTTTTTGATTTTTTGGATGGATTTCTTATTCACCATTTATGTACTTTTTCATCTTTCAATGAAATGAAAGTTGTGTTTCTTATCAAAAAAAAAAGACAGGGCTGAACGAGTAGAGTCTCACTTTAAGCATATCTAGTAAAGATGATTGGTTGTATGCTTCTCAAACACTTTTAAAGAACTGGAGCATGCATCATATCCTCATTTAATCGTCCTGTGAAGTTAATGGGAAGTTCTAATGGTGGGGCGTAATTGGTGCTTGTTCATGAATAAAACCGTGACATCAATTGATAGTAGCTCACGATTTATCACGTTTATTTACAGGATTATTTTGTATTATGTTGCGATCTAGCCACTATTGTTACATGTGGTGGTGCATGATCATTTCTTTTCTTCCTGTATAGTAATGTTGCTGTTTTTATGGATGTCGTTATTCACGAACACTTACCAACCAGAATGCAGACCATAAACATGTTTCCTCGGAACAAGATCAAAGCTCAATGCTTAAAGTGATATGCAACCAGCGAGACCGTTTCCGAACACGCTTGCAGGAGACAGAAGAGGTATGTTGTCACAGCTGCAGAAGATTTCAATTACTGCATCTTTCTTTGATTTTTATTCTCTTTTCCTCTCTGGAAGTATTTAGTATTAGCTTATTGTCTTTTTTTCATTCTTATCATACTAGGAAGTAAGGCACTTGAAGGAGAAGATAGGGGTTTTAACTGCGGAACTTGAGAAAACAAAAGCCGATAATGTCAAACTTTACGGAAAGATTCGTTATGTTCAGGATTACAATCTTGAGAAAGTAGTTTCTAGAGGATCAAAGAAGGTGCTTTGTTGAAACTTTTACAGTTATACTATACTGGTAGTTTTTCTAGCTCATATGTCTCCTTTTAATTCTCAGCATGCTGAAGACTTAGAAAGTGGTTTCAGCTCTGATGTGGAATCCAAGTATAAGAAGATATATGAGGATGACATAAATCCTTTCACAGCATTCTCGAAAAAGGTTTCACAATACCTCTTCCTGAATATCTTTTATGATATGTGGATACTACTAAACATTGGAGATTTGCATATATACTTGGTTTAATTTTGCATGGAATTGGATTTAGTGCCTCCTATATTTTTGTTGACCCTTCTCTTTCTTTTGTATAATTATGTGGCAGACGATGCTGTGTGTGTATTTTTTATGGACCTGATTTACCTAGTTCTTTGTTCTCATTTTTATGTTAATTTTTTTTTTCAGTTTGGCCCTTTCTGCTGATGGTTTAAATTGTTTAGTCACGTGGTGTATGATCTAAATTGAATTTCTGAGTTGATGCTCAAATGATTTGGGATGTGTTTCATGCTACACTTCCGCATTGCCTATCATTATACTAATTCGGATTATATCTTCCCCTTGACCTGTGAAGTTGTCTCTAACTCCCCTTCCGATTTTTATTTTTTCTTTCCATTTTGCTGTGTTATTTTAGGGTAAAGAAAACAGTACTCGTTGACCAAACCTAGAATGTTGCAAACTGGGTATCATTTTTCGAGTCTGGTTTTCCTTTTCTTCACTAATCATAGTTGAGCACATTGAGAATATTGTATCAGGTTCCATAAGTGATCTATAAGGTTAGGTGACAATTCTAGTTAAGTAGTACAGACTCTTCCTTGTGGGACTCATTTCTATCAAGCACCGACCCTTTTTAGACTCTTTAAATGGTGTCTGATGCATCCTAAACATGATCGCAATTTGGAATAGGTATTTAAAATTTTCTCGCATTTGGTTGACACTACTTGTGACACCTTGAGCTCATGCTATGTGCATGTTGGGCATTAATAGAACGATCTGAGTTTGATAATAGAGTAAAGTAATGCAACTTAACGTGAATTTTGGATGGTGATCGTAGAAGTTGATATTTGGAATTTTTCAAGTAATAAATATTTCTTATAGTTTTCAACAAAGGATAGAGGGAGGGGAAGAGTCTGACTTATCATAACTGTCCATGTACGCGTGTACATGTACCTGCAGATGTACAGCTTAAGACGGACGTCTCAATGCAACTAGGTTGGGTCAGTAATATGCATAACATCCTTGATCTGCTCTTCATAGGCCATAAACTCAGTCTCCATTTCAAATTCCCCCCGACTTGATGCATGTGGTCTACAGATGATCATGTGCATCTATTGGGATTAGCCTTGATTTTTTTTTCTTGGGGGGAGAGTGTCCTCTCTCCGACCTCAACCCGTATCGAGCCAAAAAGAGTGTGGATTGGGGTTGTGAAAAAATAATGTAAATTGCCCTGGGTTTAACCAAAACGTAGCTTTACAAAGAGCCAATCCATTTTTGTGTATATATGAAGGCAAACACTTGAGCACTCATAAGTATATACACAGACGACATATAGAATAAGATTTGTTATCTGGAGATTCCCTGGGTTACTTTCACAATTTGTTTCTCTGATTGATGGATGTTTTAATATTAGATCCGCTGTTGCGTCAACTGGGATTGTAGTAGTAAGCGGCACGTACCCATTTTTTACTGGCCACTTTACATGATTCCATTTTTCCCATGAAAAAGGGATGAAGAGGAGCTAGACAGTGTGATAACTCAGTTAAGTGGTTGGTCCTACTTATAGAGATCTGTTGAGTTTAACAATTAGATACACATATGCACTATGCACAGCCATTTCCGTGTATCCATGTAATGTACTCTGTACGGATCATTTGGTCGATGTTTATGCATATAAACATTTTGGTTTTTGAAGTTCTGCAACTTATTGATGCCAAACTATGGTTATACATGCTGTCAGCAACATCGTCCATTTGTATTATATTTTAATGAATTGCATTTCTTTTTTTTTCCTTTTCTTGGTTATACAGTAGTTTGTTATGTGGTAACATTTTTCAGTCAATGATCATGTACTAACTGTATTTTTTAACTGTGATTAGGAAAGAGATCAAAGATACAAGGAGTTGGGTTTAAGGGATAAAATTACTCTTAGCAGCGGACGTTTCCTTCTTGGCAATAAGTACGCTTCCATAGTACTTGATTTGATGTTTCTTGATAACTTTTTCTGCTCAGTAGATTATTCTTCTTTTCCATGTGATGAATTTGCTGATGTGATTGGAATTACCTATAATGCTCTATGTCAATATTGTTGACTTTACTCCATGTCCCCACCACCTTTTTCCTATTTCTACTATTAGACTTGGCCTTGCAATTTTGACAAGTTTTTTTTATCTTCATGCCTTTTCAATTGAGAACTTCAATTTGTCAGCTTATTTAGACTGTGTAATCAACTTCTGCATTCTTCATGAATGTCCACCCACCCCTGCCCACTGCATTCTAGAAAAGTGTGAAGGGACTTGCACTTTCATTTGATGTAGAATTCCTGGAAAAAGGATATATTTGGTCTATGCCGAAATAATGCATGAAGAATGCTAGTATTGATGTGACTTTGATTTTCTGCATGCACACTCCTGTAAGTTCATAAAAACTGCACCTTCTTGGCGTCAATTAACTTAATCACAACTGATAAATTATCTTCTTGATCTTTTTGACCCTAGCCTAGCCAGTTAATGGATATCTCAAGTTCAGCTTGCTTATATCTGAGCTTTAAACTCATGGCTATTGTAGATTACATGTAAGCGTAGAATCAAATAGTTCAGGACAAGCTTGCAGTTATTAGCTTCATTTATACAAATTTCACTCATCGTATGAAGATTGTTAGTTTCAGATCCCTAGGATGGTCTTTTTCATTATTCAAATGTGGTGGTTGCAGTTGCCTTTCATTGATTAAAAAGCTCGAGCTGCACCTTTATTCAATGTGCTGATCAGACAGTTGCTTTGTTTCATTTGGCTGTTTGGTTTGAATACATTTAGCGGGAAGTCTAGTCATGATTTACTGCTTTGCAGTTCCTTGTAGAGCATAAACTCCTATTTTCTTTGTTCGCAGTTTGGTGTGAATTCTAATTTGAGTTGTGTTTCTAACAGCTTTGGTGAAGACACTTAGCACACTTGTCCTTAGGTTCTTTGTTATTCACTATCAAAGGTGCAAATTATGCGCAACTTATTGTAAAATCCTTTGTAAAGGTTAATTCTCCATCTCATGCTTGTGTTGTCCTGGTTAAACCATGTGATCAGTATTTTCTTACTAGTCTCGACGTTGATTCTTTTTGTCCCTTGCCTCTATGTGTATTCATGTTAGTACAAAGTGTTTAGGTAGTTTTTAGTTAAATATAAATGAATATCTACATAACACACTAGTCACCTTCTCTGCACTTGGAGATGAAATCCTAGTGATCAATTCTTTCATACAAATCAACTTCAACTGTTGTTTGTTTGCCTTGTAACTTAATGTTTTTGCCTGATATGATGTATCGAATAACAAAAAACTTTTTCTTGCAGATATGCTCGAACATTTGCATTTTTCTACACCATTGGGTTACATATTCTAGTGTTCACTTGTCTGTACCGGATGTCTGCTCTGAGCCATTTCAGGTATGACCGTCTATCAAATGCCTTTTTTTTTTTTTTTTTTGGATTCCACATTTAGACTTTTTTTTTTTTTTAATTCTCATATCGCGTTTATGCAGCAATGGTCCTGAGGAATTCCTCGCTAGAGATAAAAACCTCAATCTCCCCCATGCACTATAATCTCTTTTCATCCCTCTCATTTTTCCGAGGTGCTGTACATCACAGATGGAATGATCGGCTGAAATTCAATTTGAGTAAATTATACAATGTAAATATGAATTAGATGATATCGTATTTGTCGTCTTGGCAAGCTTTGCCGTGCAAAGTAAATAATGAAAATGCTTTTTTGCTCGGTTTATCTACGAGCATGCAGCAAGCAGAGATGGCACTGGGCCTGGGGCAAAGGAAGGAGGGAGGGGAAGGGCTAGTTTCTAACAGGATCCCAGTGTATTCTTCGCCTGGGAGCCAGTGCTCCTAATTGTAACATCGCTGACAAATGAGCAAATTGGTAATTCTACCCCCTCTTTTCAATCAATACTTAACTCGTTGGAAAGCTGTGTGTGTGTGTGTGTGTGAGAGAGAGAGAGAGAGAGAGAGAGAGAGAGAGAGGGAGAGAGATGAATTGCATATCAAGTTTTGATAGCCTGCATTGCAAGGGAAGGAGGGTATCTACACGGAGAAAATATTGGGTGTCTAGGTTATATTAGGTTGACATGATGTAATTATTTAATAATAAGACGGCAAGTGGATTATACATAATTAAATGACTACTCATGTTGGGTATATTTGTTCACTTATTATTGAAAGGTTATATAAACGATGTGATATAACTGTGATACCTAAATATTTATTCCGAAAAGCTGGATACTGTAGGTCCAAGCAGCAACTTTTTGTGCCCTAGCATATTCTCACCCTACAAATATTTATTTTCACCCTATTTAATTTGTTATTATCAAACTATTAAGTTCACCCCTTTTATATTTATTCTTTTAGTATCTAAGTTCACTCCATATTATATACATCTCTTTAATAAGTAAGCTCATTCATTCTATGTACACCTCTTTAATAACTAAATTCACCCCAGTTTGTACTCATCAATTAGTGACTAAAATCACCCATTAACATGTTAATATTTCATTTAACTTGTAATTATCACTCTAAAAAAAACTATTACAACTCTTAACAAACTGAAGTACTCCTTTAAATCTCAACAAATCTACCACACCAAAAGCCAAAAAACCAAATCGGAACCAACAAGAATTGATTTGAACCTCAAAGATAAACACAAAAAATGGTTCTTCAAAAGCTTCTCGAAATGCTTGAAAATCTAGATCAAACAAGTGCTCTTTTCGATCGCTAATTTAATTCTCGAGAGATATACGAATCATAGGAAACTTTTTGTATAAACTCTTTCAAGCAAAGACATCTCCACGAGCACAATTGAAGGCTTGGTGTTATAAAAAGGGGAGAGAGAGAGAGAGAGAGAGAGAGAGGGAGAGAGGAAGGTAGATTTAGGAAATGGAAAGAAACATGATGTGGATCATTCTTCATGATGACACACATGGGATTAAGATACAGCTTAGAGTGAGGTAAATAAGTTAATTAAAATTTAACAATTGGACAAATAATAATTTTAACCAAATTTTACCATAATTACCTTTTCCCAATTTAATTTACCAATTAAGTGTGAAAATCTTTTTTCAACAAAAACAACCCAAACTTATCATGTAAATTGATGTTATGAATGTGTCAATTAAGGATTAACACTAAATCTCCCACAACGATGCCAACCAACGCAAACTCATCAAAATCAATTGCAAGTGTATAAGCAAACTTAAAGCAATAAGAGGCACACACAACTGTTGATGTGGAAACACAACCCGAAAAAAATCGCGGGAAACCAATCGGAGTTCACGAAAGCCTAACCCATTATTTTAAAGTCAATGTACAAGTACTCGAGTCTTATACATCAACTAATACCACAGTTAGAGCATCTCTAACCCTCCTCTTTAAAATAGCTAGTCAAAATATATTTAAATATTACATTCACTACTTTAGCTAATCACTTTTATAAATTCACTCCAACCACTTTCTCTATTTTAGCTAACTACTACACCCAACTTTCAATAATTTAAAAGAAGTAAAACATATACATAGAGAGAGATAGAGATAGAGAGAAAAGAAGGTAGAGAGGGAGAGCTCAAATGGCTCACCACATTTGGTGAGCCATTTGAGTTAACTAGGAAATAGAGTGTGAAATAAAAAGTGGGAGCTAAAAGAAAAGAAATAGAGAGTGAGTTGGAGATGCTCTTAGATGTTTATATCCTCCAATAAATCTCTCCATCGAAAGTTACTCTTTGATGTTATGGATAATTTTACTTGAACTCTCCATAGTAATGGAATGTTTAGGCCTTGAGCAATCTTCTTCGTCAAGATCCTCGGTGGGTATAGGTGGCTGGTTGGTGGTGGGTTTTGGTGGTGACTGATGTTTCAGATGGGTTTTGGTGGTGGTTGGGTGGCTGGTGGTGGTTGTGGGTTTTGGGTGTGGGTGGTTGTTCGTGGTGAGTTTTGAGTGTGGGTCGTTGGTGGTTGGTGGTGGTGGATTTCGTGGTGTTGGGGTATAGATTTTCGGTGTAATATCAAACATACTTTTTATTTTTGTTTTCATAATTTTTTAAAATGTAAATGACTACCAATCATGTTTTTTATTTTTTATTTTTTATTACAGAAAAACAAAAATTAGTTTTATTTTTTTTATAAAAAATATATAAAAACGAAAACGTTACTAAACAAACCATTAAAAAGCCTAGCTGGTTTTGGAGTTTAAGCTTTCAGTAAGAATTCTCCACTCAAAGACTCCAAAAAGTGCTTAAAAAATGACTGACTACTCCTATTTATATCAACTTCAAAGCTTCTTAAGGAAGCCACTATAACACTATGTACATAAACCCCCAAAGAACTAGATATTTCCAAAACACTCCAAACATGTAACTATTTGTTGTCAACCACCTCAAAAGACCAGAAAAGCCCTCACTTAGGGACAACAAGACCAATCTGAAATTAAAATTTGAAATGACAAAAATATCCTGAACCCAAGCTACTAAATAGACAAATATTATTTTTTTATATACACATGATTTGCATCACTTATTCATGAATTCATAAAATTTGGCTTTCCGACCCATTTAACAAGGAGCTAAAAATAGACACCACCTCTGGTCTTGATTTCCCGCACTCAAATCACAATTTCAATTCGGTTTTTCTCGTAGTGGAAGTCAGGTTTGATGTTTCATTTGCAACACCTTCTTTTTCAACCTTCAAATCACCTTGAAAACTATACACATCCGCCACATTAAAGCTAGGCGATATTTCCATACCATGAGGGAGCTCAACTTCGTATGCATTTTCACCAAATTTGCACAAAAATCTTTCAAGGGCCAATCTTTTTGCTCTTAAGCTTGTGATAAGTACCAGGTGGAAATCTTTCTTTTCGAAGGAAAATCATGACCCAATCCCCAACGTTGTATTCTTTAAACCTCTGATGACGATCAAAAGTATCTTTGTAGCATTGGTTTATATTTACCAACCTCTTTCAAACCTCTTTTTGAATCTCCTTCAGATTTTTTGCATAAGCAATAGCATCATCACAAGCTATTGACTGAATTGATGCATCCAAAATGTCAACCACCTAATTTGGATTCCTTCTATACACTATTTGAAAATAGCTCCTTTCGGTAGACATATTCACTGTGCAACATGTTGTATGAAAATTTAGCTTGCGGAAGATCAACTCCCATTGTCTACTATTGTCCTTTACAAGGCATCACAACAAATTTTCTAAGCTCGTATTCATTACTTCTGTTTGGCCATCTATTCGGGAATGACGGCAGCAGTGGTGCATCAAGTAGTTGGATGAATAGCAACTCCCATTCTACCTAACCAACAAGCAAACACTAGTGGTGGAAAGGCAGTCCAGACAAGGCAAAATACTCGAGGCCAAATGACAGTCAAGTGCTACTGATGTTTTGAAATTGGGCACAAGTCTAATGAATTTCCCAAAAGGGTTGACGCTCATGTTAAACTTGTTGATGATTACAATGTGGGATTTTAAGAAAATTTTGCAACTCTTGAAAATGCAAACCAACAACTAGAAGATTGTGAAACAACTTATGTGGAGGAAGAAAGAATTGAAGGTGTTGTAGTTCGTGAGACACTTTGTCATTCGGCATTTGATGCTCACACCACCTTCCAATGACAAGAGTGACTGGCTGTGTAAGAACATCTTTAGAACAAGTTGTACAGCAAGAGGAAATCTTTGCAACATTATTATTGATAGTGGAAGTAGTGAGAATCTGGTTGCTCAAGAGATGGTAGAAAAATTAAAGCTCAAAGCTGAAAAGCATCCACAAGTGTATCACATTCTTTGGTTCATCAAAGGGAATGTGGTAATTGCTTTGTCCAAATGCCTTCTTGATTTTTCCATTCGGTCTTTAGAAGATTCAGTATTGTGATGTGGTACCCATGGATGCATGCCATATCTCGCTTGGATGTCCCTGGCAGTATGATCAATGCACATTCCATGATGGCACCTTGAACTCATATTCTTTGTTTGTGAAAAATGGTGATAAAAAGAAAAGAATTGTGTTGAAACCAATGAGAGATGATAACTTTGCCAACAGTAGAAAAGGGTGTTCATCCTTACTTCTTAATTCAAATGACTTCATGAAAGAGGAACAACAGCTGCAAATGGTGCCAAAATGTGTGAAGGAGGTGCCAAAGGGTCATTCTAGTAGTGTAAGTACCGAAGCATGTGTCATCATCTTCTTTGTCCCTTTAAAATTCTTTTTAGCTTCAGAATTCCAATTAAAACTTCCACCCTCGAGACATTCAGTTAATGGAGTATGGTGGACCCATAACCCATAAGTCCCAAGATCAAAACCTAGCTCTGATACCAATTTGATGCAAATTGGAGATGCAATAGCTTAGTTTTATAGATATTATGGTTTTGAAAATCTAAGAACAACATAAAAATACTGCCTTCCATCATGAAATAACCACTAGAATCGCACTATAAACAACAAACGTGAAATATCTTACTTAAACCAAAGAAAAATACTTGATTCTGGGACTTTCTAAACTGCAACGAAGTAGAATATGTGGCCTTTTGCTAGCCTTGCATG